GATCAATGTTTTTTTTATTAGAACTGTTCTATTGAGTTTCTTAGAAGAAACTGAAATACAGTTATGTGTTCAAGAGTTACGGTAGAGTCTGAAAGATATTAAAGCATTGGGAACATTTATTACTCTTATTTTTGAGATCTTAATTTTACTCAGTAAGTTATTGAATCTCTTAAAAAATTTAGATAAATTTGAAAAAAAGGACAACATTATCGATTAAACGTACCAAAATCAAACATGACATGTACGGTTCCATGAACGACTTGGGCGATGAGGATATCCCCCTGATCAGCTACTGAGAAAAAGAGCACTCCTGATCGATAGGATCGAAATATGATGGTCAGCTCATTCTCATACATCGACACTAGCCCAGCCTTGTGGGTATCCACCATGTATGAGCTGTCGTCGAACACAGTTATGGGAGATTCTGGAAAAGAAGTTTTTTCCCACACTCAGAAAAGATAACAAAATTACTTACCAGTTTCGCAAACTGTAAGCATTAGTAGTGGGTTCCTAACGTCTGTCTCCTCAATACCGTAAGCATTTTTAATCCTCAACTGAGTAGCGATGAGGTCTACATGGGTCCAGGTTGGTACGTGAGATAACGTTGAATACACCACCTAAAAATGATTTTTTACGCAGTTTTCGGAAATCTGTTACTTGAAAAAGTAGTTGTGAAGGGTTTTCTTCGTATTTTGAGCCAATGAAGGCTTTGGCTAGTGATTTTTTCTATTCTCCACTCAATTTTAGTGCAGAAAAAGTATTTATGACTGTAGATATATCTACAGATTTTATTTCAACTGTTATAATCCTCCCCTCCTTTCAAAAATCATTGCTTTTTGCTCAAAGACACCCAATTCATCACTCCATCAATCCACCCATTTTTTCCCCTATTTAACGAAATTTTATTGTCCCCCTGTGGGTGATTCGCGCGGCTTTAGCAGTAAAGTCACAACCAGCACATCCTCTCGTGGACCAACGAAAATCCGCCGAATAAACTTCGAACCCCGTGCGAAAATTTTGCGCGGCTCATTAGCTGCAAAATCTGCGCCTACAACTAGGCAAAATGTTTGCGTTGGCTCATTGGAATTTATGATGTGATGATTAGAGGAGGTGCGAAGAATTCCTCTCATCAACGTGGTGGCCATTCCCCGCGGGCCAATTCCATGCGAGAGGCGACGACAAGGCAAATGCATGGTCATTTCGCGTCTGCGAAGCGCGTTATTTCATTTCGACAGATTTGCCTAATTGATGATCGTCGACGAGTGCTTGGCTTGAGGCTTGTTGACGGGGTGATTGGTGGAGAGAAGGTAATGCCAGAGTGCTATTTCAATAGAGCATTCATAAAATCACTAAAGGAAGATTTTTAGAAGCTGAATAAAATCAAGCTGGTTACAGATCAAGATCCTTCAAAAAACGAAGCAAAAGAAGTAGAACAAGTCAAGATGCCTTTTTATATGAAAAGAAAATAAAGTAGGTACCATTGCACCTTTCACATCAAATTTTTCCTATTGAGATAAAGTAGAGAAAAATAGCGGA